ATATAAACTGTCGAAAAATGGCTATTTAATTTTATATACAAACTTCTATTTTATCTATACTAAGACGTATTATAAAGAGGTAAAATCTAAGTTTGTGTGTAGGGGGTAATCTTTGAAATTTGGTTTTACAAAATTGTTTTACTGACAGATACTAGCGTAGCTACACTGTTCCTAAATGCTACAGGCAATTAAACATCACCCTACGACCAATAGGAGCTAAGTAGCGGGTGAAATCGCGCGGCATTAGCTAGTTAAGAATAAAAGGTGTTATGAAATAGAAAATTCACGTACAAAGTGCTTCTGACCTACATTCCAAGGTTGCTTTAAGGATCTGGTTGCTGCGCTCATTAGCGACGATGAACGAAAAACCAATCGAATTTATACTCATTAAAAGTTCCCCGTCGAGTAGCACACGGCGCACAGCAAACACCGCGATAAAATAATGACGTAAACAAAAACACAAATTTATAAACACATCGAGACGAAAGTGAAATTATATGAAGTAGACATTGGCAATAACGTTAATGACGTCGACGTTTGTTTAAACTGCTCATTCCGCAAGCATTATCGTGTGTAAACATATAACGTAGTTGCACACATGCATACATTCCACATGTCCAGCATCCGAGCTGCGAGCTCCTAGCGTCGTCCCCCTATCGGCTCCATTTCCTAGTGCGCGCGGGAGGCGAGGCAGCTTTAATTACAGTTATATTTGTGTTTATGCACATATGTGCTGTCATAAAGTGGGTCGCGCGAGTGCACCCGCCGGTTCAGATAAGCCGACCGCTTTCAAAAAGTTATTATAACTCTACTTCGTTTTGGCGATGTTTCGACGACACTACGTCACAACTCTTTAAACGTGGTCAATGTGTTATTGAAAATAACAAAGTTTTTAAAATGATTTTAGTTTATTTATCTAAACCTTTTTATTATATAGAGCCGAAGATCGGATGGTAGATGATTAAACATTAAAGTATCTGAAGCGTCAAGTTATTAAGTGAAATCGATAGATACGATTGTGAACCGCGCGGGCACGAGAGGTTACGGAGCATAAAAGAAAATCCAGAGAAGGAAATTATTTGCTGAGCGTTCATTGTTAACTATGATCAGAGTGCGCGCCATGCCTTTTCATTCCTACAAATGTTTGGAAGTACGTCAGCTTCATGCCATTTTGTTGTTTTACGGCGACCGACACGACTATTTCAGACATAGTTTACAGTTCGTTAATACTGCATTCCAAGAAAACTACTTCTCCAGTCAAATATATCCTCCTCTGTTACGTAATCTTTCCTGTTCAGATTATGTAATCGCTACAAGGCTACAACTGAACAACATCATGCAAAAAGTTAGGAAGTTCAAACATTTTAAAACACAAATTACGTGTCGAAACAAACTTGTTACAAAGTTTAAGCAAATAAACATAAGTCTTATAGGCGAACAAGGTCCATTATCTTAATTTTCTTGTTCCATTTGAGCACTTTAAAATCATTTTGGCAGCAATTTACAAAGCGCTCCAACAGAACGTATCAACGTAATTACCGGAGTCGACACGTAAACAGCGAGCAGCCTCGAACCCGCTTGACACTGATCGCACGGCCAAACATACTTGATCTCCCTCGACTCGATGTCCATTTAACGGCAGTAATGAGTGACGAGGGGTGTTTGTGTCTTATCAGGGCCCTGCTTGAAGTGGCCGAGCGGTGGCTATCAGTTTAAGGTAGGTAGTGACTAGTCAGTATCTACGACTAGATGCGAACACGGCACGTGCGGGTGGCAATAAAACCACATACTTCACTTTTACTGCGGCCGATCACGCGATCTGTGGAGACACTCATATCGCAAGAAGTAGATAGGCTTCGTGGAAACTGTTATTTGTGCAACCGGCTCGACTGTTTAAAGTTACGTGTCTCCCAGTTTGCATGCGTGGCGTGCATTATCTCTATACAATTCAGTGATCTAACGTGAAGACGGCGCAGCTAAAGTCTGAGTGTTAAGTGAAAACTTTTGTAGATATCCGAATGTGTGTTTACATTGATATTGTATTGATATGTGGAATTTTCGTGTTATGACATTGTAATGTGACGCGCGCAAGCTCAATATCGGCACGTGATTGCGGCGCGCGTGCTCCGCCGAGAACAAAGGAATGCACTAACAAGATACACTGCATTTTAGACAGTAACTTAATATATAACACAATATGTATTCAAATCGAAATAAATTGTTCACATTAAACGATTCTATTAATCTCACTAATGCGATAAATGCAAATGTTGGTATGTTTAGATATTTGTTACTCAATCTCAAGAACTACTTAATGGGTTTAGATGAAAAGTGTTTTATAAATAGACCATGACCTAGTTTAACACATGGATACATTTTGTACCGGAACCGTGGCCAACGCCGCGGGCAGGGCCGCGAGCGAGAAACCAAAATATTCGTGAAAAAAACATCTTAAATTCAAAACTGCAATTATTTATATTATTAAGGCAACAATTTGAAAAATTGTCAGTCAGTTTGTGAAGTAAATTGGTAATTTGTGATAAAACTTTGTTCCTTGTATTTACATAAGAAGTTCGGCCATATTCGTTTCGTTATGTGAATCGCATGTAACATTTGGATCCGAGCGATACACACGCTTCGCAGATGCTAACACATCGCTACAACTTCAAATGTAAATAAAACAAATACAACTTTGTTTTGGTAATCGTAATTCGCAACATGGCTTTTGAGTCCTTTTTTTTTTTTCCTTTCATTAGCATTTAAAAGCGTAGGTATTCTGTATAATTGGTATAGAAGCTTAACAACAACAACAAACTATGGACTAGATTAAAATAAATGTCAGTCTGCCACTTTTAAAATAAAACAAGCACGATGTTATGATTCGCGATTTCTATTAGCAAATGGAAGGACTTGCAAATCCACGTGTATTTTTTCGTCGGCCAAAATATTCACAGGACGCAAAGCAATTCGGAACACTCACTCAATTTAAATGTATTTCTGTATACATTTGACAACCTCACTGAATACTAATGCCGGCAAAAATTCCAACTTCGTTGTATTCTGTTCAAGGACGGTATATAAAGTAATTGTCGTTTAATGAATAAACCCCTAATTAGAATCAGTCTCAATTCTGCAAATTAAGTTTCCGCTGAGATTCGACTTAAAATTTTCCCTTTCAGATGATGAATAAATAATAGGTATATACGGCCGGTGTGTAGTTTATATACATACGCGACTCGTGTCCTCTTTCGGTTTATTTACTCAGTGCACGATCGTGTGTGTGTGTGTGTTACACACACACACACACACACGATCGTATAGTTGAGGATTCGTTTCAAGTGTGCAATACTGCACAAGCGTTGAAGGTTGTGTGTGGGTAGCGTCCTTCACAACGCTAAGTGTATCCTCTAGAGGACTCCTTAAAATAGGAGAAAATAAATAAGAAAACATAACTCAGTGTTCCACTGCTCTCGTCAAGTTATTTATACAGAAGGTAATTTTCCTTGGAACAGCGATATTTTAAGAATACTATTACTGTTCTTATCGTATTGATATTCTTTGTTGACGGATTGTTGCTTTCCCAACAATGTTGAGTGCTTGTGCTCGATGTTGAGTCAAGAGGTGGGCTTATCGGCTTAAGCATTTTCTAATGGTTTAGTCGCACCTTAGAGTGATGGATATACGTCTTAAATGATATGTATTATGTTAATTAGATACGAATCGAAGGACATTACTAATAGATTCGAATCTCCTTTGTGTACCTATCTGAATACGAAAAAGTAATTAAATAATTTTTTAATGATACTCTATTTGTTATTTCAACTCATTACTAATAGCTTTGCCGCCACTAATAAACGAATATAAGTAAAATAATACCAAGGAATGGAACCTATGGAAGACCATTGCATGCGTTGCATAATAGAAAATAAAGCAACGATTTCTACCTAGAGGTTAAAACGTATGGGCCCACTGTGCCATTTTGCGTCCAGGGTTGGCACAAACAAAGCAAGGATATGTTCGAAAAATCGCACGTGGGAATGTTTTTCCGCACTTTATGTGGGTTTACGAGAAAACATGGAGAATAGGTGAATTGTAAAATGTAGTGGGCAAATTGAGAACAAGAAGAAGAATCAAAAAAGTATGGCACAATGGGAGACAATGACCGGTGGCATTACGATAGCTTTAGCTAGCTAGCTAGATTTCTATAGGAGATATGAGAGGTACGTAAATAGGCGTCACTCATAGACGGTGTTTTGGTTTGGAGGTTATTAGGAATAACTGAAGATCTAAGTAACTGCTATTGGAGACCATCCAGTAATGGACGGAAATGGCGATAAAGAGCGTTCACAGAAAACGAATGTATTCGGCATATAACAAATAGCAATGCATCGGAGACCGTGTAGGAAGAACATTATGTTACCTACGTGTGCGAGACACGTGTGACCATGGCAGTGCATTGTGTGTGCATATGGCATAGGTGAGTCTGTGAGTGTAGGTCGTAGTCATTAATGTTTAGCTTCGGTTTTGGAAATTCAAAATCCATAGCTCATATCTTTTGACAGACGAATTTTCAACGAAGACTTTAGCCAAACTAAGCAGGAAGAGATTTTCCAGAAAGAATTTTAAATGTGGGAGAGCCAAACTTCGGCACGAATGGATCGACTCAACCGGAGTGACACCAAGGCCTCACAACCGGCGTGAAACAACCACAGCGTTGTGTTTCGCCGTGTGAGTGAGGTTACCGGAGGCCCAATCCTTCAACTCCCCCAATCCCTCCTCAATCCCTTAATCTCCAAATCCCTAATCCTTAAAAGGTCGGCAACGCACTCGTGACTCCTTTAGTGTTGCGGTCAAATCATGGGCGGACCGATTGCTTACCATCAGGTAATCCGTCTGCTTGTTTGACGACTTATTCCATAAAAAAAATCTATATCCTTTAACTATGACCGTGACATTGCAAATATAGGATGGTATATTCGTAGTGATGAATGTGTACTAACCCTGAACGGCGCCGGGAAGAGCGACGATGCGTCGGGCTCGGCGGCGTGCGCCTGCGACATCTGGTGCGCGCGCGCCTTCCGCTCGCGCTCTCGGTCGCGCTCGCGGTCGCGGCCGGGCCAGGCGGCCGGCGCGCCCCCGCCGCCGCTCCCCCCGCCCCTGTCCCGGTCCCACTTGTCGTACCTGTAACAATAACAAAAACATTATAATCTCTAAAAAAAAACATAAGTTCCAAAACAACAAATGAGGCTATTGGCATTTACTAAATCGCCACTTCAACTTTACATAGTACATGTAGAAATCTATACTAATATAATATTATAAAGTTGGAGTTTGTTTGTTTGAACGCGCTACTCTCCAGAACTACTGGTCCGAATTGTAAAGGTAATTATTTTTGTGTTGTCGAGGAAGGTTTAAGGCTATAAAGCATCACGCTACGATTTGTAGAGGCCGAGAAGCGAATAAAACCGTGCGACAGAAGCTAGTATTTAATAAACTGTTAATTTACTACAACAAATATGACAAAATTTGGTGCAGTAAAACTTTAGAAGCTAAACCTTGAAGGTCGTGTAAAAATTAACGCTGCTTGAAATTAATCTAGACCTACATGCTGCCTGTCTGACACAATGGCTGAATTACTCACAATTGTAACATTGAGCCGAGCAAAACTCATATTAAACCACGTACAGCTGTAACTTTTGACAACTGCTATGTACATTTAGGCTGTCAATCGCTTTGTATAGGGTCCCTAAACGTCTACACCTACAAGAGTTTTTAGACTAATACTATTAGTATTACAAATAGAAAATATTTAACGGTTTGCATAAAATAGACTCGACAACTACAACACTGGTTTAAAAAATAATTTTATCATTGCAAACATTTTTTTCAGTCATAAGAGCATGTTCAGACGACCGGCGTTCAACGCGCGTCCAACGCAACTGTTTTGTATAGTGTTCACATAATAATGCACTTATAAGACATTGGACGCGCGATGCCGCGGTTTTATAAAGTTCTTACATTTCTCGAAGAAGAACTTAGAACTAACTATAGTATTAACGATGATATTCTACCGACGACAGACAAGACGGAAATATTGGGAATTTTAGACGAACCCTTAAATACGTCCATCCGCTTCAAAATCGCGCACTCAACTGAATGAAAACAAAGCGTGCGTTGCCACGTACTGATAACAGTCGAGCGCTTGCGCAGCGTTCAACGTAAGTACGATATTTACAACGCGCGTCAACAAACCGCGCTTTAAGCGCTTGTCGTGTGAACTTGCTCTAACATTCGTAAGAAATCTTCTACATTCCACGTGGAAGAAGCCGTGGCCAGAGAGTTGGAAAGATTATCTTATACAGGTACCCACTCTATGAAACTTGTTAGACAAAAAATTGCACCAAGGTAATAACAGTTTTATTCAATATTGATGGGTAACCAAACTCCGCAATGTTCGAACTATTTCGAAAATATATTTTTTGTTATTCGCTTTCGGTTTTGCAGAACTGCCGCTGCGTTGAATCAACCCCAGCCTGAAGCCATTCCGTTAGGGATTAAAAAGCGGTACGTGAGTAAACCTCATTCGTTATTTTGGTTACGTACGTATGTGTATTCACAGCAGCATTTAAAAAATATACTAAACTATACAAATACTTAAATGCATTTTCGACTCTATTATATCGCAAGGAAGTTGAAAATTAGTCAATTTGAAGATTTCTGCGACAGTACTAACACTATGATTTAAGGCTTTTTAGAATCTGCAATTCCATATTTTAATTGAGCCTATTCTCAATGTTTAGTTTTGAGCTGAGAAACTTAAGTAGAACTGTTTTCTAAAGCTTAATTTGCATGGTTTCCGAAAACAATGAAATTCTATTAACAATCGATAGGAAACCGTGTGAACTCAGAATTAGTTTATTATCGATGTTTATACTTAATGGAAAGGTTATTGTTTGAGTGTGTTACAAATTCAAAATGGCCGACCTTTCTGGAATTCTTTCGATGATGAGTCATAGAATAAGGAGAAATATGTGGAATTCTCTGTCTCAGTATTAAAACGATTACTAATGAACTAGATGACTAATGTGTTGATGTTATATGTATTTATTTTCATAGAACACATAGATTTATAGACGAATAGACAAACATGCACTATTTGCTCATGCATATCTAATAATCTGATCATATAAGTAGGAAAGACTGGACAAAAGGCTACAAGAACTTTGCGGTTATTTATTTGAACATCATGGAAACTGTAAAAGCCGTTCCCGGGATTTGTTCCCGAAAATGTCACAAACGTTTTTCCTTCCACTCAAAATTTCGTTGTTCTTTCTATAAATCTTACTAACAGACAACCAAAACAATGTAGGAAAAAGACAATGAAACCATTTTACTTACGGCTATTTTCCTTATAAGTATCAAAAACTAGTTTGATAAAAGAATTTATAAAGAAGTTTAGATGGCCCAGTTCTTTATCGATAGTTGTTATTTTATCTACAAATAGAAAGGTTAGTTTAACAATAAAACAATGGTTACAGCTTAGTAGCACGTCGTAAAACTTCAATCATAATGTTCAGCGGTTACACTGGATGGGATATCAAATTTTTTAAAGGCTTTAAAGCGATGTTTCGCAAACTTTTTAAATTCAAGGTACACCTAGGAAAAGGAAACTTTTTGGAGGTACATGATAATATCTGGTTTTTAAGAAGTATTTATTTATTTATTATTGATCATTGAAACAATATTTATTAGTTATAGATTATACTAACTATATTTTGGCAAGGCACATTGACCAATGAAGCCGGTACAAGTGTTTCGGGACGGAATCGAGCTTACTTGTCTTCTCATTTCTAAGTTAAGACATTTCTTATTTAGTGGACTAATCTTAGTATCCTAGTATCCCGGCAATGGACACTAAGAGATTATTTTTTTAAGAGAGAGACAGAACGTCCTGAATGTTTCATTCCAGGGCGCAGTTTGGATTTGAATTAGGCTTTCACTGACTCAAAACCAACCTTGAGATGACCCTAGATGACAAATAAAATGACATCATAGCATCACTAGCAATACGTTGGCATAACATTTAATTGGTCCACCTTAGCTACTCTGTTAAAGAAAAAAAAGCGCAAATGACCGGTGCTTGTTCCCGCGGATATTATAATAAGTCTTAGTCCTTATATGGGACTACGAGTACAAATAGCGTCCTTGATGAATGCTTAAGTATTTGTACTAGTACTACGCAGTATAAAAACTAGTTTTCGCATCAATTTATTATGACATCGATTCATTATGTCCACCTCGTTAGTAGAGTTAAGAAACGCTTTGGTTCCGATTATCAAGAATCGAGTAAAAAAAAGGTGAAAAAAAAAACAAAAAAGAATGATGTGTCAGTTATAATAATAATAATAAATGAAAGTGATAAAGGGGCATGGGAACTAAAGGCTAAATAAGGTTGCGATAAGGACTGGTACAAGAAGTGTGTCATTGAGTTTTGGTATACTGTTTAGTTCTTGGTAATAAGTTTCATATTACAATGACAAAGGCGGTGTTAATATACATTTCGAGGAACACAAAAAGATTACATTTACAGCCCTAGTTATAGAATTTTGTATGTTATTATGCAAAGGGGTGCAATCTTCATTCCATAGTGGTGAGTATGATTGACTGACTTGTATGACTAATTCTATGCGGTTTTACCAGCTACTCGGTTCCTATGTGATCTTTATAACCTAGCTTTGCTCTAAATAAGGACTATCCAACGTAAAATGAATTGTTAAATTCGAACCAGTACTTTCAGAGATTTGGGCGTTCAAACAACCAAAATTAGTATTCAAAACATAGGAAGCGATACTTCGTAAAACAAACTTTTTTTAAGTCGTTGTGTAAGCATTAAAAAATATATATTCCAAAGGACATTAATTATAAATGTCGCTTATCATTTTACGCCTGGACATAATATTTTTTGATTAATTACGTCACCGATAGACGTATTACTGTCCGCTGAATCGAATGTAATGAAGTGAAGCCTGACTGGCCGCCATTGTTCTGTTATTTTAATCAGAGCTCTGAAACTCGATGGTTACATATGACGATAAGTGTCCTGCGATTACGTAACGTGATTGAGACCCACTCTAATATAAACCTAAACAATATGTATATAGGAGAAGTCATTATGTAAACGGATATCGATTACCTAATAGGTCGATTTACTTTTGAAGGATTAACTCATTAAATGCATGTAATAGGCAGATAGACCAAAAATACCTAATGGTTATTTTGTAATTAGCGCTGGCTTAAGCCGAAAACTTATCCTACCTCTTAGTTTGAATACTCTTTATTGAGAAGTTGTCATTAACAAGATGACAAAGAAATCCTACTAATTAGGTACTTAAGGAGGATTTTAAACAAAATCTATTGGAATATATGATTAAAAATTATAACTATCGTGAGAAATACTAAATTAATCTATAATAAAAAATGAATCGCGAAATATGTTGGTAAGCGCATAACTCAATAACGCCTGGACCATTTCTACTAATTCTTTTTTTGTTATGTGTGTTATTGTCAGGAGAAGGTTCTTATGAAAATAAGAAAATTTTAGAAAAGTAGAGGGGGAGTTGAAAATAAAGACTTAATGACGTGAAGGAACCGAGAAAAGCTTTACTAGTTTCAAACCACAACGGGACTCTAATTCATGCCCACGCGACGCGACGCGCACGCAGCGTGCTCAAGTATTAGAGCTTAGACAAATATAAATTCTAAAAATGAATAATAAATAAAAAATCAACGTTCTTAGTATAAAAGTATTTATAAATTGTTGAAATAGCAATTTCACTTTCACCATACACTGGTGTCAGTGCTTCAGTAGTAAGTTGAAAGATTTATTGGTATCGGTCTCGCTCGGCGCGCCCGCGGCGTCAATTATAATGTTCACTCGAATAAAAACCGAATAAATAACTCATAGACCTGTAAATATGTGCAAATACTCATTTTATTTGTAGACTACAATAATACTTACATTTCTCATAGGGGGATATCCGTCCATTTATGCTGTATCATCGTAAGATTGACAAATATAGGTAATACTAGTTTCTACCAGCATAAGGGTCAACAATGTGTTATTCCAGTGTTTACCTGTGTCAAATTTAATTTCGATCCGTTAGTTTTCAAGTGAAATAGTA